TTACTTCGACTTTAAAAACGCCAATATCCATATAATAGACGGATAGTACACATAGGCTCGCAAAAAAATAAACCAAAGACGGAGAGCTTCCCGTAGTTCGGCAGGGCAATTGTAATACATAGATCAATACTGTCGAGAATAAAAAGTGATAAAACATAATATCAAATTAAATTGGATAATTGTTCCAAAATGATCATCTCAAAAAAGAAAATATCCAATTTTTGTAAAAGAAAAATCATTTCCTCCATATGGGTAATAAATGTTTTGTCTTAATTTTTTTGGTAACTATATCCACAAAAGTCAAAATTTTCGTTTGACTATATCCAAAAGGGACGGCGTTTCAAAAGCCATATACTTTCAAGATGCTTGCCTTTTTGGTTGATTTGTTGTACTTTGACCTTTTTGGTCATATTTTTTATGAACTTATTAACTCTCTGTAAACATATAAATATTAGCATCTAACCTCAATAGAATCTATGGGAAATTTCTTAGTAGTATTTTAAAGTTGGAAATGTGGAACGTTTTGATTAAAAATAATTTATGAAGATGACCATGTTGACCTACTTAAACCACGATACCGCCAACAAAACCGGACGGCAATGTTATGGAAATGTCAATTAAAAAATACTTGAATTATTATGAGTCAAAACTAATATCCACCTAGGAAAATGGAATTAATACCATAATAAGGCATTTTTCTTAGATGGAATTAAATAAGTAGGGATAATAATATAAATAGTCCATAAAGTCTGACCTAAATGTGCAATGTAATTTCTGAATTTTTAATTTATTCAATATGATCCCCGAACTTCAATTTAATACGTATTATTGTCCTTAAATTTTTAATTCGTTTAATATGATTTCTAAATTTTTGGTACATATTTAAATTACTCAATTGCTTCTATCAAAAAAAAGATTAAAAGTCTTCTCTAGCATTTTTCATGTCTAATCATGGATGGGGGAGAGTACATTATTTTGTGGCTAGGAGAAGCACACAGAGTCCACGTCACGTCCGTCATATTGCCCATCACCTACAGAGAATCCAGGCAAGCTCTATTAATATTTCTTTCAGAGGTAATGCCAAGTAAAAATCCTAAATTATCTTTACGTTGATATATTTATCTTGAATTTTTTTTTGTTTCACTTAAAGCCATAAATTTAGTTATTGTGACATAAATATTCTAGACTTTTATGTCATAAAAAATCCCGAACTTTGGAAACAAGGACATTACAAGTACAAAAAGTTATGTATGGCGCTTACTTAGGTACCAAAAGTTTTCGACAGATCATTTAAATACCAAACCGGTAAAAAAATGATCACTTAAGTGTTAACGGCGAGAAATTCCTGACAAAATAAATACGTGGTATTTACAATTAAAAAAAAGTGAAGTGGCAAATTTTTTAAAATGCAGTCCACGTGCACATGAAAAATGATGTCATTTTTCCGTCCGACGTGGTTCCAACAAACATAACGACGTCGCAGAAGGTGGATGCAAATTAGGGCATCGACTTCCTTTTACTGACCGTCGCTTGCTCACTTGCCCACCGTCACTCAATCGCCATCGCTCGCCCGTTGTCGCTTGCCCGCCTTCGCTCGCCCGCCGTCGCTCGCCCGCCGTTGCTCGCCTACCGTCTCCGTAACTCTCACTCAAACAGGTTTGTCATCTTCTTCTCTCCCTTGAGGCTCCGACGGCAAAATTAGGGTAACGAGGGCAAAATTAAGGCTCGGCTTAGAGGGAAAAAGGGTTCTTTGCAAGATTTAGTCAATAATTTGGGGGCGAATCAAAATATGTGCTGAAATTGGCCGATTAAGGTTTTCAAATTGGGGTTATCTTTCAATTTGGGGATCTAGGGTTCTTATTTGGGGGAAATTTGCCGAACGGCGTCGTTTTTGTTGTTGACATGCTAACTGGACCTTCAGCGACTTACAGTAGGCTTCAAAAATTAATTAAAAAAAGGCCACGTCGAATTTCTAGCCAATCATATCGGAGTTGGCACTTAAGTGATTGTTTTTAAAAAATTTTGGCACTTAAGTGATTCAAAAGAAACTTTTGGCACCAAAGTGAGCGCCGTACACAACTTTTGGCACTTGTAGTGTCCTTCTCTCCGAACTTTGAAATAGAGGGCATATATACCGTGCATGTATAAGATTGCGCTTTTTTTTCATGACAAAAATAAGTTAGGGGTATCCGTGTTACAGTGGGCAAGTTTAGAGTTTTGAATGACAAAAAAAAAAGCTTGAAGTATTTGTATCCTAGTAAGCATAATTTGATATTTTTTGTGGTATTTTCCTTTCTTTTATTTAGCTATATGTATTTTCGGGCTTTATATTTTCTCAAATGCAATGTATCGTTAAAATATCATCTAATTTTCATGGTTTTACATATTGTGAGGTGTTCCATTTCTCCTATTTTATGTTTTCGGTTCATTCCATCATCGTTGCCCCTTAAATTAATAACGATAACTACAAAATAAAACCGGTGCAAGAAGGTACCTAATCTATCTAAATTGCAACTACCAATAATATACATTGGACTATATTATATAAGTTGATTTGAAAAAGTATACGATAAATCATTATCTAAAATATACCGTGCAATGCGCAGGTGAATGACAAGTTAATGAGAAATCAATATCGAAATTTGGTCATATCTTTCAATCAAATAAAGAAATAAATTTAAATTCCGATTTGTGTTGATATTGTTACCAAAAAATTAAGACAAAACATAGATTATTTGCCCATATGAAAATAATAAATCGACTCAAAAATATCATTAAGCAAGAACCGAAATAACCAATTTGAATACACTACATGAAGGCAAGAGTAAAGAACGGTCAAACGAAACGAATTGACGCTATTATGTTGCCTACAATAAATTTCATACGAAATCATATTGGAGTAAATAATTTTATGAACTAAGGTACTTTTGTGGTATGATGGATCTTTACTCATACGCAACGCTATCAGCTTGATAAAATAGTCCATAAATTGCTTTTTCCTTGCAAAAGAGTATTGTCTAAATCCATTTTTCATTAAAACAGATCATTTCAAATGTTCTTGTAGAGAAAAAAAATAGACATCATATATATTTAGGCAATGTAACTTATTTAATTTATCGCGTCAACGACCCTAAACATATATTACCTTATACTTCCAGCCGATCATGAGAATACACTAAGACTAATTACTTCGACTTTAAAAACGCCAATATCCATATAATAGACGGATAGTACACATAGGCTCGCAAAAAAATAAACCAAAGACGGAGAGCTTCCCGTAGTTCGGCAGGGCAATTGTAATACATAGATCAATACTGTCGAGAATAAAAAGTGATAAAACATAATATCAAATTAAATTGGATAATTGTTCCAAAATGGTCATCTCAGAAAAGAAAATATCCAATTTTTGTAAAAGAAAAATCATTTCCTCCATATGGGTAATAAATGTTTTGTCTTAATGTTTTTTGGTAACTATGTCTACAAAAGTCAAAATTTTCGTTTGATTATATCTAAAAGGGGCGGCTTTTCAAAAGCCATATACTTTCAAGATGTTTGCCTTTTTAGTTGATTTGTTGTACTTTGACCTGTTTGGTCATATTTTTGATGAACTTATTAACTCTCTGTAAACATATAAATATTAGCATCTAACCTCAATAGAATCTATGGGAAATTTCTTAGTAGTATTTTAAAGTTGGAAATGTGGAACGTTTTGATTAAAAATAAATTACGAAGACGACCATGTTGACCTGCTTCAACCACGATACCGCCAACAAAACCGGACGGCGATGTTGTGGAAATGTCGATTAAGAAATACTTGAATTATTATGAGTCAAAACTAATATCCACCATAACAAGGCATTTTTCTTAGATGGAATTAAATAAGTAGGGATAATAATATAAATAGTCCATAAAGTTTGACATAAATGTGCAATGTAATCCCTGAACTTTTAATTTATTCAATGTGGTCCCGGAACTTCAGCTTAATATATAATGTCGTCCTTAAACTTTTTATTCGTTTAATGTGGTTCCTAGACTTTTGGTACATGTTTAAGTTAGTTCTTGGACTATATAAAAATGTTCAGTATTATTCTTACATTAATTTAAGTTCAGTGACAACATTGAATATTTTCATATAATTCAGGGATTAGATTGAACATTTATCAAAAGTTCGGGATTATATTAAATTGATTAAAAATTCGAGAATAATATTATATATTTGTGAGGATCATATTACATATTAAGTTAAAGTTTAGATGCCGTTTTATTATTTTTCCAAATAAGTAAGACCAAAGAGCGAGTAATATTGACGACATCTTGGCGTTTTTTAGACAGAGAGAAATTTTGGGGCCTCCTCATGTGGCGGCGCCCGTGTTAGAAGAGAGCCAGGTCAAAGCAGAGGAAGCTTGGACCCAAAAAAAAAATAAGGGGCAGAGGAAGCCACGTACTCCATACGTAATTACAAATATTTAAAAAATTAAAAATTAAAAAATTCAAATAATGTTTTTGTTTTACCAGCAGATCTCTGCCACATGGTCGGCTGCAGTTGTCCTTTATGGGCTGTTTGTTTGCATCTTAGGATTTCATATTCAATGCCCCCAAAACGATCTCTTGCAAGAAAAAAAATCGAGAAATCGTGACGTGTCGTAACTCAATTGATAAACGTTCAGACACAATATTTTGGAGCTACGTTTTGACTCGTTTCCACGTGGTTATATACAGAAATCCTTATCTTAAGTGAGTTAAGCGTGTCGTATCGTGTTATGTAACTTGCTTTATAAACATGAATTTAGTTTTCAAGAGCATGGCCGGTGAAGTATAGTTACGGGATTTAATATTAATGCTCGAGATTCAGAGATTAGGAATTTCAAGCGCATGTCCGTGCACGACTAAACCTGTTCACATTGTACGTACCGAATACCGATAGGAAAACGTTGACAGAACTTGGCCAGCCCTTGGACTAAGTAGAGCACAATTGTAGCGATTTCTTAATTATCTCGGGGTAAATGATTTAACTTTAACATTACAGTTACAAAGAAGACAGAAAGAGCTGCAAATAAGCGATCCGGGGAGTGTACTGCCTCTTTTTGGCAAATTGAGTAGGGATATAACTACACTTGAGAGTCTGGACCTGCTGGTTTCGAGTTTAGGAGCGGTTGAAGAGCCTTCACGACGATTGTCATGTTCGGTCGGAAGTCCGCCTCGTACTGGACACATAGTGCTGCAACTGCTGCTAGCTGCAACAGCCAGGTAAACAGCTCCAGATTTTAGGAAGACATTGCTCATGCTAGTATGTGAATTCAAGGCATGTCCACCCCGTCAGAATGTCAAATTGGTTCACTCGACATGTAATTCGCATTCGATGTTTCCGCTCAAATGAATGACATCGATTCACGTACTCATTATCGAGTCTTTGGTCAATCAAACTAGCCTAATCAATACATGGCCTAATCAAGGTACTTCGACTGTTAAAGCTAATCTTACTTTTGCCTCGAATGACATTCTTTCGGAGTTGGCACACGCAAATTCCAAACAGGCACGTAAAAGCACCTCAATACTTCTCCACATTCTCAAACAAGAACTAGAAGAACAGAGGAAAGAACCTTGGCAATCGCCTTGGGCGGGTAGTCATTGTTTAGTTTCGGATCAACACACTGTTTCACTTTGTCTTCGCTCAATCTCGGAGTCGCCTGCAATACCAAGAATCTCAATCAGTCAAGTAATCAGTGAATCTGGAAGCCTTCCAAAAAGCTTGATAAATTCTAATGGAAAGAGACAGCAGACCCAAGTGACAAGACTCTGCTGTCCCTTGGGCATCGTGTGATCTACGGGCTTCCTCCCCGTTAAGAGCTCTAGAAGGACCACCCCGAAACTGTAGACGTCGCTTTTCTGGGTGATCTGCCCTGTCATGGCGTACCTGAAATTCAAAGCCAAAAAATCACCGTGGAGAAACTGAAAATTGCAGAGAGGAGATCAGTGTTTTCACTTCTAAACCATTCGCCGAAGTACTTCTCCTCAAGTGGGAAGTCGAAATTTCACCTCATTTTCCAGACAATTTTGACTTTGGCATATCCCTAAGGAACCCAAACATTATGGTATTCAGCAGCTCCTAAAACATTCAAACCAATCATCGTTTCTGTTCTTTGAGGCCACGATGAAAAAAATGATGCTCTCTAATATCCATAAGGTTTTATCTCTGTTTATGCAATGAACGAAAAGCTTAAGAGAGTTGTTTTACTGTTATCCTCTTCATCAAGTCGTATTCAAGCAGAAATATGCACCACACTACTTGGATGTACTTAACAGAGAAACATCATGACTTGTAATCTTGTTATTTCTTTCGATTCTAAATGAAATTAAATGGTAGCAGTAATATACAATCTAATGAGCTAAATCTTTCTAAGGATGTCTTTCAACCCACCGTATCGGTAATGTTGTTTTTTCCTTTCACTATTTCAAAAGCATGGGTCATTCACTTTCCTTCCAATCAATCAATAACTCTACGGAAACAAAGCAATCTTCTAAACTCTTCTGAGTCTTCAATTTTTCCTAACAAAGCATTGTTTTTGTTTTTCTTGGCTCTAAATCGAGTCGCTTACTCTGGAGCATGGTAGCCAAAAGTTCCCAAGACCCTAGTTGAATGCAGCCGCGCTGCGGTGTCGGACGACTGATTCGACAAGTTGAAATCCGCAATCTTCGCCAGGAAATCGTCGAACAGAAGCACGTTGCTAGATCTGACGTCTCGATGGACAATTGGAGGCTGAACTTTCTCGTGCAGGTACTCGAGGCCTCTAGCTGCACCGTACGCAATTTTCACTCTCTGGTTCCAACTAAGCACGGGACCAGGTTCAGCGCCTTGCACTCCTTTCCTACCTGCCCAAGGACCATGTATTAGATTCATATGACCCTTTTCTGAGTCAAAACAGCGATTGTGATACGGTGCGGTTGCGGTCATACCATGCAGTATATCATGTAAAGAGCCCTGAGTGGCAAACTGATACACCAAGATGCGGTTATTAGCCTCCAAGCAGTATCCAATTAACTCCGTGAAATTCTCGTGCTTGAGTCTTGAAACTATGGAAAGCTGCATTGGTCCATTACAAGATATTGCATGTCACGCCATGTTGTATTTCGTTTGACTGAACTCGTATGTCGGAAAATAAGTATAACCTGAGCCTCAAATTCGGAGTCTGGTTCTTCAGAAGAACTGGTGTCTAATTTCTTTACAGCTGCCTGCTGACCATTGCTTAACTTGGCTAGGAAAACCCGGCCATAGGAGCCTTCGCCCACCAAAGCCTTGGAACCAAAGTTGCCGGTTAACCGATTCAACTCGCCCAGCGTCAAAGCCGGCACTTCGATGGGCAAGACCTTTTGAGGAGCTCCACTCCTAGCCACATTAGATGGTTTTGGCTCTCCTCTCGCATTACCTGCATCACGAGGAAGAGCATCGATATTATTTATCACAATGTAGAAAAGACTAAAAAAGTGCATTTACACAGTAGTTCGACAAGAGATCCAAGACCCGGCATTGACTGAATAAAACCATATTTATCCAATGGAAAAGCTGGCTTTGAGGTGAAATGCACCAGGTTTAATTGATGAACAATATTAATTATGTACAAGATGCTAAAGTGACTTTGACAATGAAAAGGAGGTTAGCGAGAGGAGTCTAAGGCAAATGAGAAGGCAAAGTTTCTCGTGATTTTGCTAAAACATTATCCTGATCACCATCATCATCGAGTCTAAGGGGCCGAATTCATATACCTGGCCACATGAGAAATGTACACACACGAAAAAGCTGACGATTTTGCACATAATTGAAGACAGTGGCAGGCCGTGTCGACAGATATAGAGCACAAAAATAAGGGGACGAAAGCACTATTACCATATGGATCGCCTCCTCTGGGCGGGGCTGTGTATTGATTAGCAGGAGGGCCGTAGTTTTCCTCCTCGGATCCTCCGCAGCACAACATTACTCAACCTGTCGCGACAATTTCAACACGCCATCAACCCAAAGCTCTGTCGATTTGGTTTTTTGCAACGGCTTGAATTCCTGAAATCCTAGGAAACCAACCACCTAATTAACAGGGCCGATCAATGCATCACATATTAACAATCGACGAGCCGCAAGCAAATTGAGTGAAAACGTTCAGTTTTATACACCAAGAAGAAGCACAGATTCATAATCATACACCAACGACACTTGTCGCAGCAAAAGTGTAAATTCCCATTTCCCCCTTTCCTACATCATCCACAAACACAAAATACATCCCCCAAACATGCATTAAACTTAATTTCCGTCGACCATGCAGAAATTTATCCGGAGCAGAATATCAAGAATCAGAACAGCGGATGAAAAATTGCACCGCCCACCAGGAGGCCAGCGATATGATGGACAACCCAAGAAAGAAAAGAGAAAAGATCCAGCAGAACAAATTGAGCTGTCCCCAAACATGCATTAAACTTAATTTTCGTCAACTATGCAAAAATTTATCCAAAGAAGAACACCAAGAATCAGAACAGAGGATGGAAAATTGCACCACCCACCAGAAGGCCAGCGATCTGATGGACGACCCAAGAAAGAAAAGAAAAAATACTGTCCCCAAACATGCATTAAACTTAATTTTCGTCAACTATGCAGAAATTCATCCAAAGAAGAACACCAAGAATCAGAACAGAGGATGAAAAATTGCACCACCCACCCGAAGGCCAGCGATCTGATGGACGACCCAAGAAAGAAAAGAAAAAATACTGTCTCCAAACATGCGTTAAACTTAATTTTCGTCAACTATGCAGAAATTCATCCAAAGAAGAACACCAAGAATCAGAACAGAGGATGAAAAATTGCACCACCCACCCGAAGGCCAGCGATCTGATGGACGACCCAAGAAAGAAAAGAGAAAAGACTGTCTCCAAACATGCGTTAAACTCAATTTTCGTCAACTATGCAGAAATTCCTCCAAAGAAGAACACCAAGAATCAGAACAGAGGATGAAAAAATTGCACCACCCACCGGAAGGCCAGCGATCTGATGGACGACCCAAGAAAGAAAAGAGAAAAGACTGCCCCCAAACATGCATTAAACTCAATTTTCGTCAACTATGCAGAAATTTATCCAAAGAAGAGCACCAAGAATCAGAACAGAGGATGTAAAAATTGCACCACCCACCCTAAGGCCAGCTATCTGGTGGACGACCCAAGAAAGAAAAGAGAAGAGATCCAGCAAACATGCAAATTTTGAATATGCGAAATTTTCCGAGGGAGCCCGAGAATCAGAAGGATGAAAATAGGCCAGGGAGGACCCATGAAAATTTGACAGAGAGAGAAAACGACGAGGGGAGAGAGAGGGAGGTATTGAGAGAGAAAGGGGAGAGAGAGAGAGAGAGGGGAAGAAGAGAAAGAGTGCTCTGTTTTTTGGGCTTTCGTGTTTTCCCGGGAATCCTGAGTCGGTTGTTGTGTTAACCGCCAAAAACTGAATCGACCGTCCCATCATCATGTACACAGGGGCTTTCTGCAGCTACGTGCGCGCCACCAATCGCACGTTCCCACGTCAGCCGATCGAACGGCCCGGAACGGCGCCTTCGTACGCCACGTGGGGGATGTCGCCGGAGAAATAGCTTGACCCTAAAGTGGGCCGTGCGGTCCGGCGGCAAAGGGCCCAGCTTTCTTGGACCTCTAACTTCTTGAAGATGGGCCGCGTCCCACTATGGCTTCACAAGGTACAAAGTTTGTCTTTGCGGTGGCGGAGGGAGGGGGAGGTGCCCTCTGCCGGCAGCTGTGGAGGATCCCGGCGGCAGAGGGCCGCACCGCCCCGTGCAAGGGCGATCACGGAGATTTTCCCGTTGCTAGGGCACAAAACGGAAGCCTGTAATGCATGGTGTCAAATCCAAAACGCTTATTTTTTTACGGTCTTTCGCAGGAGCAGTTACCAATGATTTTCTCTAATTTCTCTTCGCGGAGCTTTGATGTATGATATTATCGTATGGAGGAGTCGTATTCCAGTGTAGATTCCGCTTGCCTTAGCGAGAAGCATTTCCTCAAAGCTTAGCTACATCTCAATTGCTATCATTCATGGGCATGGGAAACTTCAAATCTCAAAAATAGACGAGGAATCAGATTAGCCTTGCCCATTAATACTGTGTGTTCACTTGCTATTGGATAACACTTGGCACATAATTTGGGGCCAAACGGATGATGATGCTTACACCGAATATTAATGTAATAATCAGACAACTATTGATAAAATTTTGAAATAAGTGTACTATAAGTCTTAAAATGTGTCATAAAAATGCAATCGAATTCTTAAAACTTATAGTACAATCAAGTCCATCAACTTCATCTAATTTGACTAACGAAAAATGTTAACATGGCTCTTTTATTAATTTACTCAAGACGCGTGGCGTCTATGTAAATTGTGGAGGCAAGAAAACAGGACTCTATTCTAAAAGGTCCTGTCCATGTGCAACAAGAACTCAAACGATGCTCAACGAAGAAGCCTGGAAGCTCGAGCGACCTCGGCCGACTTGATGAAGCTAGGAGCAAGATCTAGGTCCGTTTGTGACACATTTACCCCATAATGCATTTGTCCAAGGGCATTTTCGTCTTTTTCTTTTTTTTTGTTTTTTTTTTCCATTTTTTTTTCTTCTCTCTTCCCTCCGCTAGTCACGGCGGAGGGAAGCCAGTGAGGGCGGCCCTCGCTGGCGTCGAGCGAGGGCAACCCTCCCCGACGTCGGGCGAGGGCGACCCTTGCCCGACGCTGGCGAGGGCCGCCCCCAATGCTGGCGAGGGCTGCCCTCGCCGGCTTCCCTCCGCCGTGGCCAGCGGAAGGAAGAGAGAAGAAAAAAAAAGGAAAAAAAACGGAAAAAAGAAAATGACGAAAATACCCTTGGACAAATGTATTATGGGGTAAATGTGTCACAAGTGGCATAGTTTATGATTTTTCATGTCACAAAAAAAAGTTCAGGGTAAATTTGTCACAAGTGACATAGTTTGGGATTTTTGGTGGTGTTTTCCCTAACTTCTTCGAAGTGTTTCTTTTTTAACAATTCTTTTTTCTCAAATTGCGAAAATAGTTGCTGATGGGCGCTGCCGGCCTCTATTTAAATCTATGTTCTATTATTCTATAGTAATTTTTTATGGACGAAGTACTCTTGAAGGGACTTCAAATCTTTCTCTGGAGTCTGGCCTTCTTGGAGCAAAGTTGATGTCAAGTAGACCTGTTAAACGGATGAGTCGGATTGAATTTAGGTCGGATCATTACCCCTTTTAATCCGTTTAGGACCCATTTATAGTAAGGCAAATTTCTCGACCTATAGCCAACTCATACTCGACCCAACTCATTTAATAAATTTTAGGAAAGCTTATTTTGCTAATTATTTTTAAAAATTGTATTGCCAAAATATTTTCATGCAATACAAATCTAATGAACAATTTTTATATATTTTTTAAAAAAATTTGAGACTCCGTTTGTTTCACAAAAAATATGACATTTCTGAAAAATGTTTTTCAGGAAAATAACAATATATTTTTTTTAATATGACACTTCTGGCAAATTATCTTACGTGGATTTTTGTATTTTTTTAAAAAAATATTTTTTATTTATTATTTCCCTTTTTTCTTTATTTTTTTCTTCTGTGCGCCGGCTGCAAAGGCCTCACCCTCGGCCGGCAGGGTCGCGAAGGCCCTAGGTGAGGCCAATGCTAGCCATGAGCAAGGGCACAAAGGCCCTCGCCAGATCTGGGCGGCCTTGCCCGTAGTCGGCAGGGTCACGTAGGCCCTCACAACAGATTTTCCGGATGTGGCAAATTATCGAAGGCACTTAAGCGAATGATTTTTCATATTTGTGGCACTTAATTGATCGATTTTTCAAATTTGCGGTACTTCAGCGAGCGAAAAAAATTACAAAAATCGTCCGCATCGACGCCAGCAGTGCCACGTATGATAACCGGCATCCACGTCGAAGCAAATCGCTGATGGCACTTAAGTGATCGATTTTTTTTCAAATTTGCAACACTTAAAGTGAGCGAAAATAAAATTACGACGTTCAAGTGAGCGCCATACCAAAGTTATGTCGCTTTTATATTTGAGAATACCCATGAAAATCCTGAAATCCCCAAATTTTCATTTCAAATTTCCCAAAAATGACCAAATCTCATCATTTCCGCGCCCTTAAACAATCAAAAAAGAAGAAGCTCACCAGCTCTCACTCCTCGCCCCCACACCCAACTCCCTCCCTCTCTCTCTCTCTCTCTCTCTAAAACTCCCTCACTGTTCTCTCTCTACAGCTGCGCTCCTCTCCTCTCCTCCAATGGAAGAAGAAGACCAGCACAAGATCGCAGATCTGGTCCGGGAGCTCGTCCTCCGCCTCCTCTCCCGGAGCAGCCCCGCCGGCGACCCCCCCCCGCCGCCGCCGCCGCCGCCGCCCCCGACCCCCACCGCCTCCAGGGCTCCCTCCGCTACGCCCTCCGCATCCTCTCCAGCCGCCTCGCCCCCTCCGCCGCCCCCGACGCCGCCGCCCTCGCCGAGTCCATCAAGCGCCGCCTCGCCACCCAGGGTAAGTCCTCCCAGGCCCTCGGCTTCGCCGATCTGTTCGCCAAGTTCGCCTCCAAGACCGGCCCCGGCAGCGTCAACAACAAGTGGGCGGTCCTCTACCTGCTCAAGATCGTGGCCGAGGACCGGAGCAGCGCCAGCGGCGGGCTCGATTTCTCCGGGCCGCTGCCCAATTTGGATTCGTTCGAGGCCGAATTGGGGAGCAAGTCGAGGGTTTCGCAGGATCGGGAGAGCGAGCGGAATGGCTGGAGTAATGGGGTTCTGCTGGTCGCCAAGGACCCCGAGAATTTGCGCGATTTGGCGTTCAAGGAGTACGCCAGCTTAGTGAAGGAAGAAAACGAGGTGTCGGAGGAGGTCTTGGTGAGGGATGTGCTGTATGCTTGTCAGGGAATAGATGGCAAGTACGTGAAATTCGGTACGATAGTGGATGGTTATATCTTGTCGGATTTGGTTAAGGTCCCGAGAGCGACCAGGACTATGGTTCGGAAGCTCTGTGAATTGGGTTGGTTGTTTAGGAAGGTCAGGGGTTACATTTCGGAGTGTATGGATCGGTTTCCTGCTGAAGATGTGGGGACTGTTGGGCAGGCATTTTGCGCGGCATTGCAGGATGAATTATCGGAGTACTACAAGTTGCTGGCTGTGCTTGAAGCTCAGTCGATGAATCCGATTCCTCTGGTCTCGGAGACGGCCAGTTCGGAAAATTATCTTTCTCTGAGGAGATTATCCGTATGGCTTGCGGAGCCGATGGTGAAAATGAGGCTGATGGCAGTTTTGGTTGATAAGTGTAGGGTCTTGAGAGGGGGGGCAATGGCTGGGGCTATTCATTTGCATGCGCAGCATGGTGACCCGCTTGTGCATGAGTTTATGAGGCGTCTACTGACCCGAGTTTGTTCTCCTCTTTTTGAAATGGTGAGGAGTTGGGTCCTAGAAGGAGAGTTGGAAGACAATTTTTCCGAACTCTTCATCGTGGGTCAGCCAGTAAAAGCTGAATCTCTTTGGAGGGAAGGTTACCGGCTTCATGCTGGGATGCTCCCTTCTTTCATATCCCCTTCTCTTGCACAGCGTATCTTAAGGACGGGGAAGTCCATAAACTTTCTTCGTGTCTGCTGTGAGGACCGTGGCTGGGCTGATGCCGCCACAGAAGCCGCATCTGCTGCCGGGACCACGACGAGAAGAGGGAGTCTAGGTTATGGTGAAACTGAAGCCCTTGAATCTTTGGTTGATGAAGCGGCCAAGAGAATAGATAAGCGCTTGTTAGATGTTATGTACAATAGATATAAGTTTAAGGAACATTGTCTTGCAATTAAGCAGTATCTGCTTCTTGGGCAAGGAGATTTCGTTCAATATCTCATGGACATTGTGTGGCCTGAACTTTCTGAGCCTGCTAACACAATTAGCTCTTTCAAGCTTGCTGGATTGCTGGAAAGTGCAATCAGATCTTCTAATGCTCAGTATGATGATCCTGAAATATTAGATAGGTTACGGGTCAAGATGATGCCTCATGGCACTGGAGATAGGGGCTGGGATGTCTTCTCTTTACACTATGATCCTAGGGTCCCATTAGATACTATCTTTACAGAGTCGGTAATGGCAAAATATTTAAAGATTTTTAATTTCCTATGGAAGCTTAGACGCGTGGAACACGCACTTATTGGTGCTTGGAAGACCATGAAGCCAAACTGTATCACTTCCCATGCCTTCTTGAAGCTGCAGCGTGCCGTTAAGTTGCAGCTTCTTTCAACGTTGAGGAGATGCCAGGTTCTCTGGAATGAGATGAACCATTTTGTTACAAATCTGCAATACTATATTATGTTTGAAGTCTTGGAGGTCTCATGGTCTAATTTCTCCAGTGAAATAGAAGCAGCCAAGGATCTCGATGATCTACTTGCAGCTCACGCCAAGTATCTCAATTCAATTGTGGAGAAATCACTTCTTGGTGAACGGTCTCAAACCCTTCACAAGTCACTTTTTGTGTTGTTTGACCTCATATTGCGATTTCGAAGTCATGCTGATAGGTTATATGAAGGCATATATGAATTGCAAGCCAGGTATTGGGCTTTCTTTTTTTCTCCTCTTGATGTGTGCAAGCACGCGTATATGAACACATTGTACGTAGACATCTACGTGAAAAGTAAGTTTTACATAAGCCTATTCTCGCTTCTTTTTGAACGATGTAGGACTGGAAATTCTTCCTTACCTTCGCGAGACAAAAGCAAGGCGAGAAAGCAAAAGAAAGATCAATCTTCAGAACCTGGTTCAGTAATTACCGATGGAAGGAAGGCCCTAACTCAGCGCGCAGGTGATTTTCTGCAGAATATGCGGCAGGATTTGGAAGCAATTGCAAAAGAATACACATCGTTGCTTGAGGGTTTCTTGTCTCAGTTGCCTGTTCAGCAGCATGTTGATCTTAAGTTCCTTTTGTTCCGCCTCGACTTCACTGAGTTCTACAGCCGGTCGGGACTTAGTAAATGAACATGCATAGTAAATAAGTTACAAAATGAGTACAGGGAAACATTTGCTTTGACATTTGATGGGTGAACCGCAATGTTGATTGCTCATTGCTTGGGATCATGTGGTTGATTATGTCGGGCTGTCACAGTGGAACGGTCTTTCACAACTCACAGGTTGACTTTAGGTATGGATTTTAGCTTCGTTTTTTCTTTTTACTTCAGATTTATAGTTTTGTCGTGCATATGATTTGAATTATTAGTGTGTGTCATCTTCTTTTGCAGGGGGGATTGCTTGCTTTGGAGTTTTTAACCGATTGGAAGCTACCGGTTGATACTGGTCGAGTAATTGAATTTAGTAGCATAGATTCTTTTGATGTAGTTGCCCATCCTGTGTTTATGTTTTCTTTGACCACTTGTTCTTACATTGTACATACTTATCATGACGTGTTGTTAGAGATAGGTTGCAAAGACTCGTGTTTCACGGATGTTTTGGATCTCTAAGTTTGCCCTGTTTTGATTGGTAGGACAAATCAATATTGTAACACACTCTGAAGCTTGGAATGGAAATATATCCTCTTCATTTCAATGATGAACTTGTCTTCCATTTTATGTCGAATATGATGGCATATAAGGTCAGATAATTCAAGCAGAGACAAGCCACAGAGAGAAAATTTGGAATGTGAGCAGGAATTCGATTCCACTGGTTACTGTATATGATCTCGCGTGGTTTGTAGGTATATGCAGATTTAAGCCTACTAATTTTGATTTTGAATAGGAACTGTTGAACTGGCTAATTCGTTATCCTCACATTAGCAATAAAATATCTGGAATGACACGGGAATCATAGTCAATTATCCCCAACAACTTTTCATTAGACATTCTACAGATGCAACTTCATCACTGTAGTCATCAACTTATCACTTCCTCAAAAAAAAAAATTTGTGGCAAAAAAACGTTCTTGACCTAAAATGCTCTACAGCTTGGGCCTAAGCACTGGAGACTAGACCTCGAGCATCGAGGACCCAAGCACGGCATTTATGGACCCGGACTCGGGTGTTGGGACATCACGCACGAGCACTAGGGCTTCAAGCATAGCCTTGATTAACCTAGGCCCTGGCACTGGAGACCTGATCTTGAACGCCGGGAACAGACGTTGGGGTTCCCGTGCTCAAGCGTGGAGTTTCGGGTCTAAGCACCGATACCTAGTCATATTTTAGAAAATATTTTCCGATTTTTCAAAGATAAAATCATTTCCTTAAATTTAAGTATAGGTTTTCTGTTAACTCATTTTCGTAAATGAACCAAACGTTAGAAAATGAAGAAAATGTTTTTCACGAAACAAACGGAGTCTTAATTTGTCCATATCTCACCGTATATGCAGAGATTCAACAAACACACCAAAAATTAGAGCAGGTAGCAATCTAGTCCAAAGAATATCTGGAGACTTGCTATGCCAAACTTTTTCTTCGGTATCTGAGTTTAGCTTAAGAAACTTGTTTGTACCTTCTGCTTTCATCAGCGATCCAGATTGCAGCATGGTGGGAGTTCTTTAGCAAAGCAAGGGGAAAAAAGGTTAATATATACTCATCTGGAATCTAGAGTTCATATGGAGACACTAATCTCATTTCAGTGTTGTCCTTCACTTTCTTGTACATTACGAAAAAACTCGTATATACATTCATCACCTCAAGGTTCCAGAGAAATCAAAACCCCTTCTCACGCATCGACCATCCAATAAGAATCTCGGAGAATCCCAGATCAATCGTAGATCTGAGCTACCTTATCACAACACCCTATAGCGAAATGTCTTCAAACATGCGTCCAGTCTATAATCCAGGTAGCCTTAGTGTGTTTCTTGGGGAACTTACCCAAGCTGAACCCGCAACAGCGAATCTCCATAATGCGTTGACATCATCAGGCAAAGCATACTCAATGCCAACGCGTGGACCGATCAGTATATTTTCCGGCTTTGGCCCATCTAGGATTTCCAAACCACCTGGACCAGTCAAAAATTTCTATGAGATATGCAGTGACAGATCACATAAAGAGAAGCCAACAACTGAAATTCTGTTTGGGGACTCGTGTTCCAATTTTCATTCGTTCATTTCCTTGTCTAGCAACATGTTGTCATCTTAGGCAGGGATTAGTCGCCTCCTATAATAAGAGCCAAATTGAAGGTTCGAAAGTTAGGTTCATCACTGACCAGGAGTATAAAGGGGATGGCTTGACCAGTCAGTTGAAAGTCCTAGTGCTTGGCCAACCTGGTGAAAAAGAGTTCTTGTTCAGTGATGTCCATACAACACATTCTACAGGAGAAGAACAACCAAAAAATCATGACTTATTGGATGATCGGGATGCGGTAATACATCTAAAATATTATTACATCGAACGTATTCCCACCTGGATTCAGGAATAGCGACATGTACTAAGCGCACTGTCCAAGCCAAAGAACTTACACCGAATAGGGTAAAGTCATGTTCTAGATCTTGGTTTACAAATATAAGAACGTAATAAGAAAGTACTCAGATTTTCACCGAGCACAGGACAAAACTTATTCCTTCCGCAAGAAAATCTCATTGGTTTTACGAGCAAAGTATCTGCTAGAGTATTCAAAGACAAAAAAAAATGTGGGAATAACATCTCTCTCTCTCTCTCTCTCTCTCTCTCTGTAGACAGCTGTTTCTCAGTTCTACTAAAGAAACAGGTGGACCTTGTTTTCCCCGAGTCTTTTCTCAATCACCTCGTGTTTCACCATCCAGCCCTACCTCGTCTAGATGACGCCCCTCTACTGTCTCTGTCCTCAAAAAAATCGATCAGATGATTTTTAAGTATCGATCACTGAGTACTCAACTTAAGAAATAGCTTGATATAATTTTGAAATAAAATCATGAACTAGGGGAATCGCCTCGTGATACTCCATCAATCAAATAAATCAACTATCAAGCCATTTAGTAGTTGCGCGGGCATTAAAAATGTATGACACGATTCTTGTACGTACTTTTGATAGTCATCCAATGGTTCAATCAGTTAGTATGAATATCTGATCCTTCCCGTTATCCAAATAATATCACTTAAGCATAACAAACTAGGGATGTGCCCATTTTCCAAAAGTCAGGTTTCCCATATTTGTAGTTCTTCATCGTCAGAGATCCATCAGTGGATTAGATAAATCCGGCCTAATTGGCCATTTTTACATCTATTAGAATTTGGAGAGAGAGAGAGAGTGAGAGAATAATGTGTTGGTGTTATCGCAAATTGGTGACGCTTTTCTTTTTGAGACATAAGAACATAAAATACAAAAAGAAACAACCCTTTAAATTTATAACTCGCTCAACATCTATTGTCTTTCCAGACCTCATCTCAGGTACTTAATTCACTGCATGTTAGACATTTATAAGTGGAAGCTTTGGCCATCTATTTTGGAATATGTGACTGTGGGTCCACTCAGCATAAACTTAATGCGTCTAAGCTACACTCAGTGATATACTTTAAGTTTTGACCCTCATTGTCTAATTTCTACACAAAGAGGAGGTTAAGCCTACTTCATGAATTGAGGTCACCATGCTGTTGCCATGAAAAAAGTTTAATTACAGTCATAACAAGCTTCCACCACAGGCTTTGAGTTTTTGGAACTTTGGATATATGCAGTCAAATATTGCTAATGCACAAAATTATATGTACAAATACACACATAAATCTTTCTGCAGGGAACAAATCAGATCTGCCACCAGGTGAAATGGAATGAAATTCGCATCAGAATGAAAGACTCGTGGTACTTTAAACTGACCTTGCCAGGCCCCGTAAGAAGCACGGGCTTCTCCGTTTGCTGACCCCTACGTTTCTGGATGGTCTCTAGCCCTACAACATATGTCATCAGTAACTCGGTAATGCAGCATCAATGAAGAAATAGACAGATTCTTACATCTCCAGACCAACCAACTGAAAATCCAACTAATTCTCCTAAGCTCATCAATGAACTTCAGCATACTCCAAACATATGTCATCTACTCAGTAAGGCAGCATCAATAAAGAAATGGACAGATCCTTACATCTCCAGACCAACCAACTGAAAATCCAACTACTATTCTTAAGCTCATCAATGAACTTCAGCATATTCCAAGAATGAGCCAGATTGGAGAAATTTGGAAAACCACAGGCAAGAAATGTGAACAATGTAGAGGGAATCCCATATCTACTGCTCAGAATAAGCCTCTGAACCGACACTCGTCAAGAATAACATAGAGAAGGGAGGTTTAGGCAATGCAGTTACCACTAACGGGAGCACAAGAGCGAATCAAGACAGCCGCTCCAATTCCTTCCTTGTCTGCCACAACATTAAGCATTGTGTGGAGACCATAGCAGAGATACACATATGCATGTCCTCCTGGTCCAAACTACAAGACGACATTCAGTAAGCAGTCAGTACATGCACAAGCAATAAAAACATAAAAATAGGGTCATGTTAACCTCCAAGAACACTTATTTAGCATGCTTCAAGTGCCCTAAAGACGCTCATTAACTAAATCTGCGTTAAAAAGTGATATTTGCCTGGTAGAATCATAGAGGAAAGTTGTGATAAGCTTACAGCTGGTGCTGTCCTCGCCGTAATGCCAAATCGACCATGACAAGCCGAATCATTTGGCCTATAAGCTTCAACCTGTCAGCACGCAGAATCAGGGTATTTTCAACTTTCAGTGCAAAAGGCAGATGTCGATTTCTTCTGTGTTTTTCTCCATAATCAAAACTCGTAATTGTCGCTTAGCCGCCTAATTAGAATTCAAAGGGAGAGTATACTGTCCTTTACACTCTTTTCTCTTGTATTCCCACTATCCAATCAAACCTACTCCAAATCATTGGCCAGATTGATCGACACAAAATCTCTACTTTCTCATCCAGCTCGACGTTCAGAAAGACACTAAGCAACTGCTACTTCCCTAAGGAATATGCCCAATACGAATTCCAACTCCATCTTTTACAACTCGAGATTTTGGAGAGAAAAAAACGATGAAGCATCCACACAACTAGTATGCCAGACAAGTTGTTCATGTTTGGCCGCAGCCCACATTTCTAATGCAAACGGCGACTCGACACAATGTGCCCGAAGAACAACTTAGCGCCACCGAAGACGAAGAGCACCCACCTCAGTAATCTGAAGAACAACGTCGTCTCGTCTCAGGAACTTCCCGAGCAACCGCGGCGCCAGGTCCAGAGCATCCATTTGAAAGAATTCCCGCGACAGAATCTTGAACTGGTCGAAGGATGCGCTCGAGGGCGGGGCTTCATTGGGTCGACGCCGGGGTCGAAGCTGAGTTCTGGGGCTCGCCGCTTTCGGGGCGGCGGCGACCGGCTTGGCTCGCCGGCTCGCCCGAGTCTTGAGCGACTCGGCGCGATCGCTCGCTCGACTCGGTGATGTCCCGGGTCCCCCGAGTCGCTTGGCATTGCGACTCGTCGCCATCGTCGTCGTCGTCGTCTTCATTGGGAGCTCCGACAGAGAGAGAGAGAGGGAAGGAGGGAGGAGACGAACAGGTGTTGGGGGCTCTTGCTCAGGTGAACTCGCATCTGTTCGAACACGAACTTGGGGTTGACTTTTTGTGCTCGGGTGTCTTCGCTCGGTCGAGGGTTTGATGGTCGCTATCTCGTTTTTCTTAGTCAACTCGACGTTTAAGGAAGTAAATGAAGGCAAAATCGAGTTAAGTTTGATTTTAAAATATCTGTAATTCCAGCCGTTTTGTTTCGCATCCGGCTTGCCATGTCATGCCGCGCGTGATTATTGACGTGGTCATTTCGTAACCGTGTTTTGTATCTGGATTGGTCGTGTGATGTCGTACGTCATTGTTGCTTCGTCAAGTAATTTCATCATTATGTTTCGCATTCGATTTGTCATGTTGCATTGCACGTAATTATCATCATATCATACCATCTCATCTTTATACTTCGTACTAGATTTTCTACATCATGCTGCACGTGATTATTGTCATGTCATATCATGTCATCGTACTATTATGTAACAAAAGCACATACAAAACTTGAGTGGTCATAAAATTTGTGAGGCAATTAGAGTCGAGAGTTCATTGAGTTGTTATCTATCGACTGTTTTACACCTACAGTTCGTCCTTCTAAATTCCAAGCACCGTCGTCATTTCCCGGGAAAAAAAAAAACTTGAAATGAACAGTGCTATCATAATGCACGAAAAAAGGTTTGCCTCTCTAAAGATGCTTAATGATATCACGAATGTCGCCATGTTGTGAATTAACTTTCGAAAAGCACCTCACGGATGTTTTTAGAGCCATGATTAAATGCTTCTACGACCTAATTTTTAAAGGGGCGAGCCTCATTATTGTATGTTAGCATGTTGATTATGAGGTTTTCCCCCTACTAATAATGACGCTTAACTTATAGACACGGTATCATTCTCTTCTATGTCTTTTCAATTCACGTTCGTACCAAGAGAACTAAACAAGCTTGTAACACAGACTTCTAGTTATAATGATTAATGCGTAGGCCCGAATGAACAACACTTAACTCGCCCCGAAATATTCAAAGAAGCCTTTGGGTAACATAATGTAAACGCAATGGGCCAGCCTCCAAAAAGACTTCACAGCCTGTAAAATTACTCGATGTGTGATGTGATAATCGTCAAATTGGTGTCATGAACTAAGATGAGAGGAGAGTTAGGGTTACTATGTTATTCATCAAAAAGCTTTGGGAGAGCATTTCCAGAGCCCTTTTGGGCCTTCAACGGCTCTGCCAAATTTGAGGTAAACACAATTCTAAAGGCTTTTAAGCTGAAATTAAGCATTTCCAAAAACCTACCAAGGAGTGATCAATCTCAAGGTGGGAACTTGAATCGAGAAGCGCCCACTAAGGACCAGTTCCACAAAATAGGAACCGGGAACCGGTCTACAATCACTACAATCCCGCACGGATCTCCTCTCTGTTTGCTAAGAGACAAAAAAAAATAAAAATAACCCTACTTCTGCTCGTTATGTTCAAATTAATATTGTCAACACTTCATATAGGAAGCCCGTATCTCCGTTGTGTCGAATTAATAAAATCCTTTGAAACCCAAAAGCTCCATAATTAAACTTTCTAACAAATTTCTGTGATCTCGTGTAATGCAAATGCAGTTTTCCAATGTAGGCCGATCTAGGAAATTCCGTAAATGTAAATGATACTCAATTGCAACAAAATTCTATGAACTGCTAAATGACAAGCTTGCATAGCAAAATATTAACCCCAAATCAACACACACTCTAACTGAGATGGTAATGGAATGAGAGAAATTAATCACCGGTCTAGTCCGGGTGGTCGGTTGAGCGGTTCCTCACCTGAAGCAACCGGTACTCATCGGTTCTAACCGGGAATCGGATCGATTGGCTTTGACAATTTTCAAATTGCGACTTCCAAAATCTTTCAAAGACTCTTATACCAAAGTTGAGATGTTTGGTAACACAATTCTAAAGGCTCTTGAGCCGAAATTAAGCATTTCAAAATCTTATAGCCTAATGCAACTCCACCCAGCATGGTCATTGAGCATTTTCAGAAAGCTACTTCGAGAGTTGATCAATTTTTTCCAATTTTGCCTTGATCCGACCGGCATCGCGCGACATCAGCGACAAGGTCGGATTTAACCTATGTCGAGCTTAATCCGACACCAACAACCCTCGCTTGGGATTATGTGGTCTCGTCGGCCCTCGCCTAGAGTCGTAGCAGCCCACGCCCGATCTATGCTCCGTCGATCCATTCTCCTTTTTTATTTTATTTAATTAAAGATTGCCTTACAGTCTGGATTTGAAAGTTCGTTAAATAAGTGTTTACCGAGTATTATTTGCTTTTCATGAGAGCCCTTTAGTCTAAAAACCTTTTTTCATAAATGGAAAGCCTTTGGGTAAAAGTTCTCTCAAGCTCACCCTAACAGTTGAGGATCACGTCAATGAGATGCAAGCATTTCCGACAAATATACGTGTGAGAATATATTGCACAGATGGTATGAGCCTGTCACCTCTCTCGTTACTTCATTAAGTGGGCTTGGATACTACTCATTTCTCATTGGTCTTGGACTGTCTAATGACTTCGGTGAAAAGAAAAAAGGGTGCAAAGGGGCAATCCGCTTAATCACCCTCTATGGCATTATCATAAAGGTCATGACATGCCCGCCGTAGAATGTTGATTTGAGCCACTGCTGCTCAGTCCCCACCCGCATGCACATGACTTGTCACTACTGTAGCCCCATCGGCAGGTTAAAAGTCGGGAAATCTCTTTATATGTCGGTACCAAATTTTTCAGGTACAAGTTAGCCTGAGGTTCGCTTACAATATGACTTGAACAAGAATCTTATGAAAGATAGTGTGACCGTTCCATGGGCTATTGCACTTTGTGGCAGGTGGTCTAATGACTTGGGTCGTGAAAATTGGTAGGATCTATCATTATCTTTCTAAAGGGAAAATCATTCAAAAAGTCATAAACCTATTATACGGCGGCCAATTTATTCCTGAACCTTTCAATTGTGTCAATTTAGTCCTAAACCTTTTGATGATTTGTTAATTTAGTCATAAACTTTTTGATGATTTGTCAATCCAGTCTTTCAGGCCAATTATCCAAATGAGAGGTTTATAACTAGATTGGCAAAAAGTCTGTTTAGGACTAAATTGGTACAATTGAAAAGTTTAGAACTGAATTGACCGTTGAACAATATGCCTAGGACTTTTTGGACAATTATCCCTCTTTTTATCATATACTAAGGTCAAAGCATGACTCTTGCTCTTGATCAGGCGATTCCAACATCATCAGAAAGTTTATACTTATCTAAAATTATAAATAAATAAATAAAAGTTCACAAGCTTCCCAATGCATAAAAGCCGCAACAATGGGACTAATTAAAAAGTAATCAGCGGTCAAAAATCAATTAAATGCTCATTTATGTAAAACATAGATACAAGTTATTGGAGATGAGCAAAAGGAATCACCCGGATCGGACTGGACCAATCGGTTCTGGGCAGTTCGAGGAGCATTGGTCTGGTTTGCGGTTCCATAAAATTAAAACCGATGAATTTCGATCCGGTTCTCAATTTCAGAGTGTGGAATCGCCCATCCGGATTACCCAGATCAAACTGATTTTGCATCCCGATTTGCTATGTCATGTCGTATGTGATTATTGTTTCGTCAAGTAATTTCACCATTATGTCTCGCATTCGATTGCATGTAATTATCTTCTTATCATGCCATCTCATCGTTATACTTTGGAACGGATTTGTCATGTTACGTCGCATGTGATCATTGCCTTGTCATGTTATCGTACCTTTATGTCTTGCAGCACGTCTGTCGTGTAATGAAAGCACGTACAAAACTCAAGTGGGTTGATTAAGCTGGCGAGGTAATTAGAGTCCAGGGTTCGTTGCCTCGTTATTTGTCGGCAACAAAGAAGCTCGGCTTTTTTATACCTATAGTTCGTCCTTCTAAATTCCAAGCACCGTCATCATTTCCCTTAAAAAAAATTGATGTAAACGGTTCTATCATAATGCACGAAAAAAGAATTTGCCTCTTTGAAGATGCTTAACGTATCACAAACGTCGCACGTTGGGACTTAACTTTCAAGAAGCACCTAACGGATGTTTTTAGAGCCGTGATTAAATGCTTTTAAGACCTAATTTTTAGAGGGGTGAGCCTCATTATTGTATGTTAGCATGTTGATTATGAGGATTTCCTTTACTAATAATTAATGACGCTTAACTTATAGACTAAACAAGTTTGTAACACAGACTTCTTGTTATAATGTTTTATGTATAGGCCCGAATCAACAACACCTAAATCACTCCGAAATTTTCAAAGAAGCCCTATGGGTAACATGGGCCAGCCTCCAAAAGACTTAAAAAAAGCATGTGAAATTACTCGATGTGTGATGATAATTGTCAACTTGGTGTCATGAACTAAGATGAGAAGAGAATTAGGGTTACTATTTTATGCATCAAAAGCTTTTGGGAGAGCATTTCCAGAGCTCCAGAGTCCTTATGGGCCTTCAAAGGCTCTTCTGCCCAAATTGAAGTGTTAGGTAACACAGTCGTAAAGGCTCTTACGCCAAAAATTAAGCATCTCTAAAATCCTATAGCCTAATGCGACTCCACCCGGCATTGGCTTTGAACATTTCAGAATGCGACTTCAAGAGATGATCGATCTTTTTTCAACTCTGCCTTCATTAAACTAGCTAATTTCTATTTTTACCATCACCCTCGCTTTTCTATGCAGATCTGACCGGTATCACACGACAAGCTGAGGTTTGACATAGAGATTAATCTAACACCAGCGACCCTCGCCTGGAGTTACGCTGTCTTGTCGGCCCTCGCTTGGGGTCGCAGCGGCCTGTCGCCTGATCTGCGCTCCGTCGATCCATTCTCCTTTTTTATTTTATTTAATTCAAAAATTGCCTTACGGTCTAGATATGAAAGTTCCTTAAATAAGTGTTTACCAAACACTATTTGCTTTTCATGAGATCCCTTTAGTCTAACCATAAATGGAAAGGCTTTGGGTAAAAGCTTATCCCAAACACAACCCAACAATTGAGGATCGCGTCAATGGGATGCAAGCATTTCCAACAAATATTCACGTTGACAAGGAAATTTCAAATAGTCAACAGAAATACATGTGACAATACATTGCCCAGATCGTACGAGCCTATCACCTCTCTCGTTATTTCATCAAGTGGGCTTCGAAACTAGTCATTTCTTTTTGGTCTTGGACTATCAAATGACCTTGGTGAAAAGTAAAAAAGGGTGCAGAGGAGCGATCCGCATATCACCCTCTCTGGCATCATCATAAGGATCACATACTCGTCGTAGAATGTCGATTTGAGCCGCTGTTGCTTAGTCGACCTGTATGTTCCCGACTCATCACTACCGTAGCCCCATCCGTAGGTTAAAAGTCGGGAAATCTCTCGCCATAATGATACCAAATTTTCGAGGTACAAGTTAGTTGGAGGTTTGCTTACAATATGACTTAGAACAGCAACCTTATGAAACCTACCATGGGCTACTACACCCTGTGGCAGATGATCTGATGACTTGGTCGTGAAAATCGGTAGGATCTATCATCATGTTTCTATTTATGCCCATTTTCTAAGATACTCATGTCAAAGCATGACCCTTGCTCTTGATCAGGTGATTCCAACATCATAAGGAAGTTTATACTTATTCAGTTCCCAATAGAGTTTCTAAAATTATATTGAAAAAATACAAGCTTCCCAATGCATAAAGGGCCGCAATAATGGTTTGTAGAACAATATACGTCAAGTCTTTTGATTAGGTGAGAATCAATCAAATTGAAATTGATACCACAATTTGAAAGCTCCGTTCTATGTTTCAATTAACAAGCCAATGAGAGCGCATCACAACTAGCATAAGCTTCCCCAGAACTACCAGCAGGCCCCTACCCGAGAAGGGGCTTCTACTCAGCTCTGATATCAAGAGTAGCCCGATTTCCAGATTGAATCGGATCGGTGCTCGCCCCATTTACCACCTGGTGCCCAACGCGATTAATGACCTGTCACATATTATTCTCGCAGAAGCCAAATATTCTAATCGTATAGTTATCATTAAAAAACAAAAGGGAACTTTGAAATGGCTCATTAGTATAAGGTGACAAACTAGGAAATGGCCTTTCCACGTCCCTAAAAGAGCTCTAGCATGGACCGAGCAATGTTGTGCTACCACGTTACCAACTCACATACATCAAATCACAGACAACATAGATAGATAGATAGATTAGGTTAGATTAGATTATAGAAGATTAGAGAAAAAGGTATTAAAAGCAACTCGTCCCTTTTTCAAATCCACAAATCTCGGTCCATGATTTCACGGAACTAAGGCCTTCTTTTAAATTGGCGTTTGGCAAATTAATATTGACCCCCGCAAAAAAAGAGCTTCCATTCAATTGTAAAAGAAATAATTAAAATAGTTTCAGTCAAATTATCCTTTTTCACGTCGGTCCAAAAAGTTGTGAAGTGACTTAACATGCTAAAGCCGCCACCACACCAAACAAAGGTTGCAAATCTCTTCTTGACACTTGCCTAAAAACAATAATATACGAGAGAGAGAGAGAGAGAGAGAGAGAGAGAGAGAGAGAGAGGGAGGGATATAATAAAGCTAGGCCGACACCAAACATTAAATTATTTGCGCAGTTATCATGACTACAAATGGGAGGCTAAGCTTGATCTAAAAATTAGTTTTCTTTTTTGTAAAAGAAAATGTCGGTTAAGATGGAAAAAGACAGCACGGATTATAAGGACAAGGTACGAAATGGTAGTTGGAAAAGCATGTAGTTTTCGTTATGGATAGACCAGCATGGGGGAGAGAGTAGGAAAAAAAAAACCAAGGAAAATGACTGGCACGAATTGTAGGAAGAGTGTGAAATGTTAGTTAGGAAAATTTGTGTTCTCCTGTTTGAACAAATTAGGTTTTTGAGGTAAAGATCGTTTTTGTGAATACTTCCTATTTATAATTCGATTCCACTTTAACCCTCAATATCTTTTGACATGGGAAGTCCGACGACCGATCCATGTCGGGTTCTCGGACAAAAGTTCACTTATCATCTGTGGTGCCGCGGACCGTTTGACCTAAAAGCTTTTGAACAAGGATGAAAGATGAGAGTGGCACGGTCAAAGATGTGAATTGCATGAGCTTTTATTTGCTAAGCTCAACCATCCTCTGCCTTCTCAATATCTATGCCGGCCTCCTTAAAGAACAAGAGTAAAGTTGCTTATACAAATACAAACTTTCAGGAGATAATCACACAACTTGATTTTATTTACGCGGACGCAGGTATGGATGACACTCTAGAGCATTGACATAGGCACCAACACTCGGAACTCCAGTGTTTTCCCTCACAAAAACCAACAGCTCTCCCTTCGAAAATTGCTCATAAATATTTCATCAAGATCTACCTATCGCGATTTGGTCAAAAATCCATTGTGCCCTAGCTGAATCTGCAACAGTTCGTTCTTAGATTCAACAGATGCCAATGACCGAAATTTAGATCACTCGAAAGTTTGGAAGTCAATTCAATGTGGCCAAAGAAGGCGTCGACCAGTATTGACAGCTGACTAAATCAAGTCACAAGACTGCTAAAGCACGCCAACGAAAATGGTGGTTGCCATGTCTTTCTTGGTTTGTCTTTCTTGGTATGATTTTTGAACAACGATGAAAGATGTGATCGGCACGGTCGAAGATGTGAATTGCATGAGCTTTTATTTGCTAAGCTCAACCCTCCTCAGCCTTCTCAATATCTATGCCGGCCTCCTTAAAGAACAAGAGTAAAGTTGCTTATACAAGTACAAACTTTTAGGAGCTAATCACACATTGATTTTATTTACGCGGACGCAGGCATTGACATAGGTTGTCGACACTTAGAACTCCAGTGTTCTTCCTCACGAAATCCAACAGATCTCCCCTCGAAAATTGCTCATAAATATTTCAGCAAGATGTACCGATTGCGATTTGGTCACAATCCATTGTGACCTAGCTGAATCTGCAACAGTTCGTTCTTAGATTCAACAGATGCCAATGACCGAAATTTAGATCACTCGAAAGATTGGAAGTCAATTCAATGTGGCCAAAGAAGGCGTCGACCGGTATGGACAGCTGACTAATTCAAGTCACAAGACTGCTAAAGCACGCCAACGAAAATGGTGAATGCCATGTCTTTCTTGGTATGATTCTTGACTAGGGCTAATCTATATTATACATCTAAAACCTCCTGGAAATGATTGAAGTTTGAAAAGATCAAGATGACTTCACATTATGAGCAGACAGAACAAAACCCTTCGACATAGACTTCAACTACAATTCTTGTCAAACCCTAAATACTTTTTAAAACACTGTCTCAGTTCAACCATGTTTCTTCTTCCCCAACTACCCAAGCTGTGGCCAAAATCACTAAACCAGTCCAAAGAGGACCCGAGAACAGTTGCTACACATGCAGCCATGTAAAAGCTCGACTAGTCTCAGCCCACCACTCCCCTTTCACATTGCAATCATTCCCTTCTTTTTTCTCTTCTAACATAAGAAAAAGAAGGGCAGGGCTGGTCAAAAAAGAAAGGACATAATCAGTTGTCAGCACGAGAGAAAATTCAAAACATCATGGACAGTCGCAAACCCAGAAATTCTTCTGCATGTTTTCTGGAAGGTGGGGGCCACCCCCACCAAATCTTTTCATGCATTCCAATTCTTGGGACCGATGAATAGATAAGAATATCATAAGCAAAAGTGGGATATTTCCGAGGAAAAAAAGATATATATGTATCAAGAAATAAGAACAAAAAAAATGTTGTAATTTCCTTAACTGACCAACCATCTCTTTTGACCTAAAATCTCTTCCCATTAGCCATTTTTTGGACAAGGTCGTGACCTCTGACTCTTCCCCAACACAGCACCACCAAGCTTTCCCTCTACCAAAAAAAAACCAGTAGGGACAACCCAGGAGAAACAGAACCCCAACCAAATTTAAGAGGAATTAAATATTAAAAAAAGCCCAAAATAAAACCGCCCACATTAAATTAACGAACCAAGCCAAGGTATGTACACGGAGTCATCGGCGGTGGGAGGCGCGTGCGCCGCCGTCGCCTCGCCGGCGGTCATGATCAAGAGGTGGCCTGGTGGGCCTGGGGTTGGGCCTGGGGGATGTGGTGGAGCTGGGGGGCGTGGGGGAACGGGTAAGCTCTGGGTTTCGGCTTGGCGATGGGTGGGGCGGCGGCGGCGGCGGGGGAGGAGGCGGGCGCGGTGGTGGTGGTGGCGACGCGCTCACAGGAGGGGCACATGGTGAGGGTGGTGGCCGGGAGCTGCATGTAGAAGGGCTGGGAGGTCTTGAGGGCCCGGAGCTCCTGGAGCTCCTTCTGGAGCCGCCGGTTCTCCTCCGTCAGCGTCTCGCAGCACCTCTTCAAGTACTCGCAGTCTATCTCCGTCTGCTTCAACTTCGTCCTGTCCACGAAGATAACCAAATCTTTCTTTTAATGCTGGAGAATATGACTTCATCTCTTCGTTCCATTCACGAACTTCAACGGAAAGCACCCCAAGAAAAGAAGGAAGGGTACCTGGCTCTTCTGTTCTGGAACCACACCTCAACTTGGCGAGGACGGAGATTCAACTGTTTTGCCAAAGCTAGCTTCTGCTTCTGCAGAGTAAAAAAATGGATTGTTTCTTACAATAACATCAACAGAAATCAACAATAACACCCCATTTTCTCCTGATATCTTCTCGTGGGTTCTTTTGGACATGATGTTTAATCAGAGAAAAGATGAATCTGGAGGTGCAAGTATGGAAGAGAGACTCACGGGATTGAGGGTGTTGTGTTCCTTGAAGCTCTCCTCGAGGAAAGCCGACTGTTCCTTGGAGAGCCTGAGCTTCTTCCGGGTGAGGCCGTTGTCGTCGTCGTCGCTGCCTCTCGAACAGTCCCTCTCGATGTCTCCTTCCATGTCGACCCTCTTGTTGCCGCCGCCGCTTCTGAATCCTGCTCCTCCGCTTCTGATGCCGAAGTCCATCTGGAACGACGACAGCGCGCTGTTCGGCGACGACTGCTCCGCCTCCTCCGCCGCCGGGAACCGGTTCACGTCCAGGCCCTTGCCGGCCCCGCCCGACGATTCCGGCTCGGAGCCCACTGCAACATGCACAATCATAAACATCAAAAAATATTTAAGAGAAAACAGAAAATATCCTAATTTTCTGCTTAAGATGCACAGAACCATCGTCTACCAAACTTCCCCTCCCTTATCAACCTTATCTGAGACCGGTAAGACATTCCATGGACTCAATCATCTAAAATGAACTTCCTCGTTACAGAGGAAAACAAAAAAAGCAAAACCCAACAGCAGAAAGGAAGCAGTAATTACAGTGATCGGTGAGCCACGGAAGGCGAAACTGAGAGGTGGAGGGCTTGTGGTTGTGGTGGTTGTTCCTGGGATTGGTCGCAGAGAAAGGCAAGAGATGGAGCTGAAGAAGAGTAGAAGGAGGATGATGTTGTTGGTGGTGGCGGCGGCGATCCGTCGCCGGACTCTCTCTCCTGTCACCATCACCGTCGTCGTCGTCGTCGTCGCCGCCGCCGCCTCTCGACGACCTTCCACTTATCCCCAACCCCATGCAGAACCCAAGCTCCCCGTTGCTACCGTCCTTGGCCTCGGCCATCTTCGGGGCTTTGTCGAGGAACGAGAACGACTTCGACGCGTCCCCCAAACTCAGAGCCAGCTCCATCACACAGAGAGAGAGAGGCAGAAAGACAGAGAGCGAGGTTGAAGAAGGAGAAGAAGACGATGAAGAGAAGATGAGAGAAGCGTGATGGACTTTTTAAAAAGAAAAGGCCACACAGACTAATCCAACCCACCCTTTTAAATGTAAACACGCACACAAGCACGCCCACACACCCCCCCTCCTTTGCATCCGCAGTGTACCCTTTTCTCCCTCTCTCCCTTTCTCGCTGTATAATTTATATTTTTCTTCTGGTTTTCATCGTTCTTCGTTCCATTTTATGGCGTGAGGGGTAGTAAAGATTGACCGACAGGCCCAGGTTGACAAACGCACGTGAATCCATATAAATATTTAAGAGGCACAGTGTTCTTTCTTTCTTTCTCCATGCCCCTAGAGAGAGAAAAAGGTAGAGAGAGAGGTGTGCCACTGTGCAGTGCAGGTGGTAGATGAGCCAGAAGAGGAGGAGAAGGAGATCGAAGAGAGAGATTCGCAAAATACTTAAATGGACGTAAAGGGAGAGTTCGATTGACTTTCGCCGGGTGGGTTCAGGTGATATTTATTAGGTCCCCACCCGCGCACATACATTCAAAGGCGTGGCAGCTGCGGGGGAATGTTTTCGCTTTGCTTCTTGCCCGTTTCTTGAAGGAAACCCTAGGGGCCCCTTTAGGGTTTTTTTTTTTTTGGCTCTTGCTCAATCAAAGTGACCTCTTTTACCTTTGGCCCTCTCATTAAAATTCCAAAATCTTTACCTATATATCTGGATGTTCGTGTCCATGTTTACACGTATTCGAAATGGTTTCGAGTGACATGAACGAGCCTCAACAGATCTCGATAATCGGTTTTATGGAAATGGGGTTGTTATCGACCGTCGAGACTTCATCGAGCGGGGTCGAGGGGCCTCTTTTATGGGCGGACGACATATCAGCGCTCTGTGGGTCGAGCGTCGCGCACCGAAAACAAACCGGCAACGATGCTTGTTCTCAAGAGAAACGCCGTATATAATTTGGTCATGAGTAAAAAGCTCAACGTTCCCGGTTCGGATACATCTGTATGCTCGAATTCCTTCGAACGAATGTTAATTTTACCTCTCGTTACATGCCTTGATTTTTTTTTTCTGGTTTCGCCGATGAATGCCTTCAAAATCCCGACGCCACGATTGCTCCCTAATAGGTCATACGCCGTTAGCACCGTCCGAAAAAATAAGCACGATTGAAAGAAAAAAATTGAAAAAATGAAAAAGCCTCGAATGGGTGATAGGGGAACTCATGACCTAAGAAAATCCATAATGAAGCTTGACAAAAAGAAAGTCCTTAATTGACATAATAATGTGTTTCTTTTTTTTTTTTTGGGGTGGTCGAACCTTAATCGACATAATTAATCACGCAATTAATTTGACTCACCCAACACCATTCCTCTCTCTATCTCTCTCTCTATGCCTTCCCCCCACCCCACCAATTATTGCTGTATACCGAACCTCGGCGCAGCGTCATGATTGTGGCAATATGAGACCGATGCTGATCATGATGGTGATGATGGTGATGTGGGGCGCGGGTGTAGGAAAGGAAGGAGAAGGAAGGAGCCAGTCAGACCATCCGACGGCTGGGATCGCTCCCCTCCCGGGTCGCCCGCGTTTGGGACTCATCCTCGCGACCCGCCCCCCCAATCATCCTGCCTGCCTCCTCTCGTCAGCACGACCCCCCACTCTCGCTTTTCCATTTCATTCATTCATTCATTTATTTATAAATCATCTCGAGAGTTTCCCGAATTAAATTTTTCCGAAATCGCTGCTGACGCAATTGAATTGAAACGACCCTGCCCGGCCCGCCGATGGCTAACGAGACTCGCGGAGGGCCGAAAGATAATCATTTTATTTCAGAAATCAATTTGTGACATTTTTTTTTATTTTATGGACAATAACAGCATAAAATTTTTATTTTTGAATTAAAAATTCGTTTGATAACGATACAAAATTTTTTTTTCTAAAGTAGAAGCCGATGACGTACAATTTCGGGAGGCCGTTAACGACGAGAGGCAATTGATGGCGGGAGGTGGCTAACGACAAGAGGCGGGTGGCGGCGGGAGGTGGCTGCATTAGGTGGCGACGGAGGACGGCGAGTGGCGGCGAGAGGCAATGGAGGATGGCGACGGAGGCGGCGGTGGGAGGCGGCGGCGGCGGCTGCATGGCGGCCAACGGTGGGAGGCGGCGAGTTGGGCGACAAGGAAGACATACGGAGGGTAGCGGGAGAAGATGGCGGAGGGCAATGGGAGACGGTGGTGGACGGCGACAGACAACAACCGGTAGGCGGCGGAGGACGACGGCCAGCGGCGGTGGAAGGCGATGGTGGAGCGGCGGGTGGGCGGCCGGCTAGTAGTGACGGTAAGTAATGAGAAGAGTATTTCTCATTTTTGTTTCAGAAATAGAAAAGTATAAATATTTTTTTTCTAATTTCCATTCCAAATTTATTTCTGAAGTATAAATTTATTTCAAAAATAGAAAAAAAAAATTACGTTACCAAATAAATTTATGTTCCAAATCTATTTTCAAAGAATAAAAAAATAAAAAAACAGAACGGTTATCGTTCGCTTCCTAACTCGTCAACCGGAGGGAAGAGCAGTGCGCCCTCGCCGGCACCTCGCGGGCGCCACGTGTCGCGATTCCATTGGGCTGTTCCCTTTGCCCGGGGGGCGGACCAAGCGTGATGTGTGTGCAGACAAGAAGACATCGGGAAAGATATTGGGGTCAGATTAGCACAAGATTTTGACCGGAACACAGTCCCCTCCCCCTGACCTTTTTTCGTGTTTTCCTTGGGCAGACAAAGCGACCGTCCTTTTCTTCCCTTTTATTATAAAACCAATTTATTTTTCCACTATTTTAAGGAAAGTGTCCCCCTCACCCCACTTTTCCTTTTTCCTTTTTACTCCTCTCGGGTGTCTTCTTTTATCAATTCCATTTTTTTTGGTTTAGTGAAGAAGGAGAGAAGGGAAAAACAAAAATCAAAGTGCAATCTCCCCTTTTTCTTCCTGCGGGTCTTTTCGAAAAGCCCCCTCGAAAGCCTCGCGAGAGCCCCAGAAGGGAACCCCCCGGGGAAGGTATCCAATGTGTCCCCGATTTCGCTTAGGGGGCGGGTCTACCTTTCCAACCATAGTCCAACATAGGGGAGGATGTCCTTGAAAAAATAAAAAGAAATTTCTCAAGTTCTTTTTTTTTTTTTGTGGAAATTTGGTGGATGAGATTGATGAAGAGGGAGTGAAAGTGGTGGGTCCGCGCGCGTGGGGTGTGGGGACTTTTGTTTTTTTCTTTTTTGGAAATTTGTCCCGAAGGGAGGGGGAGGGTGGCAGGAGGGGCAATTGAAATGGCTCACATCTAGGGGATGTGACCAGGTCAGATATGTCATGCTTTTGGGATCATTGCAATAATTGAAGCCACGCAGGCTTTAATGATAAGGCTTTGGGGGGGGGGGAGGGAGGGGGGGTGGTGGTGTGGGAGTTGAATTGTTTTGGCGGGACCCGTTTGGAAGCTTGTGATGAAGAGGACGACCGTGGAGTAAGAAGGGAAAAAACAATGGGGTTGGGGGGCAGAAAGGGGAAGAAAGAACGCGCCCTATTGCCAACTGCTCCTTTTTGCTAAAATTCTCCCCTCCCCTCGCCACGATCGTTCGTTTGCTTTTTTGCGCACGGTCGTGGGTTGACATTTGTTGCAGCGTTTCTGCTGTTCTTTTGCCTTGATATTTTGACTGTGCGAAACTGTATACGCGTGTGTGTGTGTGTGTGTGGAGTTCTTTGCAGCAGAGGATGTTTTGTTTTGTTCTGTTCTGTTTTGGTTTTGGCGGGTGTGTTTTTGAGGCGAGACTGCTCATATCTGTCGTTTGATTGGGGAGAGAACGTGTTGCTATGTCCTGTTGTAGAAAATCGGTAGGATATCTTTTGGAGCGAGGTAAATTGAAGGGAGAGTAGCACAAATACTTCATATAAACTTTGATCCAATGTGTAGTATGGTTCATGAATTTTTAATTTGTTTAATATGGTTCCCGAACCGTACAATATGATCCGTGAATTTTTAATTGTTCAATGTGGTCCATGGACATTTAATATATGTTCAATTTAATCCCTAAACTATATTGAAATGTTCAATTTTATTCCTGAATTTGAATTAACGATGAAACGACCCTGAATATTTTCATATAATTTATTGAACAAATTATAAATCTATGAATTATATTGCACATCAAATTAAAATTAAGGGACCATTTATATTATTACCCTCAAATTGAAAGTTAAAAAGCAACCATGGAGAAGCACTTCTTCCAATGTTGCGTCTCCAGAAAAAGACAAATTGCGTCCTGATTGTTTAGGGGTTTCTTGCATGGTATATATAGCCCGACTGAGGAGTTGGATAAGATAAAAGAGGAGTTTATCTTATCTTGTATTTTTTGTGGTGCTGTCTGTGGACGTGATGGGTCGTGATGCATTACAAATAAAGATGTTGAATAGTTTATACCTTGGTTTGTAAGACTAGGATAAAACTACGTTTTCTTATTTGTAGTATTAAAAAATTGAAGGACGGAAGCAATGAGAACGAAGCATTTTCATTTGGAGGAGAAAAGCATTACCCGTCGTTACGGTTGGCACCGCCAGTCGCTATTGCACGCCGCGATGTCACTCCTCCTCTTGCGGTCTCGCCTAAATTTAATCCCTCCTCTTGCGTGATGTCACATATTTATATATGTGAGCGTGCATGCCTACATGTGTGCGGGAGGACCATTGTTCTATTTAATATTACCCTATCCTCGATGACTACACATGAACCGCTAATTCGATAGCGTCGTCTAAAACCCTAGTTTGGCAGCATGTGTTTTTGGAAGCCAACGGTTATAAGAGGCACTTCTAAGGCGTCCAACTTGGTCAGACCCTAGCAAAGCAAAAATCGAAATCTTTATGTTCGTCCTCGAATGCGAGGAGCGAGACCAATTTCTATAGAGATGATCGGCGATGCAATTCTCCCGCGTCGGCTTCTTTTCAAATGACCCGAGTTCGAATTCGGCGTGATTCAACGAATCGCTCGTCTCGTCACATTACACGAGCATCGGCATAAGTATCGAATAGCTTGCCACTCTCCGGCAGAGGGAAAAGCTTATGATGAACAATAAAGGGCATGGATAATTTTATCAGCAGAGAAAGGCTTCTTAGTAAACGACAGATAAGTCAATGGACATGCTA